ACCATGGGGAAATTACACTTAACATCAATTTTCTGGAAAAAAAAATAAAGGAGGGAAAGGGTCCTATAAAGCTGTTTGAAAGATGCAGTTACCTGGACGTTATGGATATGCAAAGATTTTTAACAATTTCAGGTCAATAGTATCACCAGTAATAACTAATCATAAAAGCAAAGGTATTATAATAACTACAGTTATCACCATTTTTTTTTATTATAACTTCTGGGAAAGAACTATGACCATTGGGCCCTTGGCCATGCTTTGGGACTATTAGTGACTCTTGCTAAACTGATTATCAGAAGACAAGCAAAGTTTGAGCCCAGAGTGATTGGAAAGTATTTGAGATGAAGTTTAAGCACCTGCTACCCATGCACCTAATGGGTGCTCCTAACACCTCATGCTCCCATGAAGTCATTATTTTAACACATAACTAACTCACCTCACCTGTATCACCTTAACTGGGTGATGGATTGACATCACAGTAAGGGTAGGTTGTCCATAAACTGGCTATTCCTTGGCCTGGAAAGGTGAGCCAAGGTAATTAGACTCCCAGGCTGGAGTGCGAACCAGAAGGCTCAGAGGGAATTTGAGATGGTACAATTTTAAAGTCCTGTGATCTTGAGTTGAGGCTGCCATTGCCAACCTATGTGGATGCACAGTTAAGAAAGAGGAGAGTCTCGGAAAAAGTGGATGAAGAGAAATAGAGCAGAAAGGAGCATATGTGCAGAGGGCCTACCAAAAGAAGACTGGAGGAGGTGAGATTAAAAGAATATCACAGACCAGAACTGCCCTTCCAGAGCTTTGCTTCTTCACCTCCCTGAGGCCTGGGTTCAGCTGTTCTCAGACTGTCCTGAGAACTCTCCGTAGCCATACAATGGCCCCTTCTTCTACCACTCTTACTTGAGCGTGCATGCCTTCCTTGTTGTCAAAGTAGCCCTAACTCTATGTTCGCTCAGGAAACAAAATGCTGGAGAAGCCAACTAAATGCAAACGTAGCTCTCCTAACTTTTCACTTCACACTGCTGATGCTATGAGAATGAACCAGAAAAACCATAAGAAAAAATATGCATAACACCTGGAAAGTCCTCCAGAAGCCACTTTGAATCTAGCTGTACTTAGGGAAAACACAGTGCCTTTTCCTCTCCACTGACTTATCCTGCACTATTAGCTCACTGTCCTGAGCCTCAGTTTCTGTATCTGTGAAGTAGGGATGATAATGTCCAACTTGCACAGCTGTGGGGCAGACTAAATACAGTAGTGTCTATATAGCTTCCAATATAATTCTTGCCATGAATTTGAAAAATTTAGTCCTTTTATTTGCTGAACAATTTGTCAAGTGGAGAGCAGCCTGGCCTTTAGTCTCTATTTGCCCTTTTTTAGTATCTATTTACTCCCTTAACTCTGTGAACTTACATACAATATAATTGAATACATGGTATTAGTTAGTGGTAATTACCATCATGTTGAAGTGGGTGATTTGTATCAGGAAAACAACATAGATTAAGTTAAGGAGGTTAAAACTAACATTATTTTCCTATAGAGAAAGCTGCACAACTGTTAAGAGTAGTTGGGATAAAAAAAATTTTAAATAATCACCATAAAAGATTTCAGTTGATTAGGAAAAACAGTCCAGTTCAGTGATTTGTTGAAAGAACTAATTAGATTTCATTGGTTATAATGGAAAGTAGTTTGTACTTAACTTAGATTAAGTTTTTAACCTGGTAACTGACCAAATTCACCCCAAGCACCACATCAGAAATAGGTTGACATGGAAAGAAAACACATGCCAGACGTCCAAAACATAAGCCACCAGCCAAGAAATAGTTGACCTGTGCATGATGCAGAGTGCATAATTCAAAATGACATTAAAGGGGAAAGAAAAGTCTTGTGTAATTTGATGAACATGGAAGATAAATTTTGCTGATAGATTCATGAGTTATAACCAGCTGACGTCCTTCTGTTGAAATGTTCACTTGTTTCCTTTGAAGTCAAAATAAGTTAATCGTAAGGTCCTTCAGATGATCTTTCCCAGGACTTGATAGACTATAAATCTGAGAGGAATTTATTCAATCTGCTTTGATACTATAGATGATAGTGGTCTGGGGATGTGAGTTGTAGCAGCTCTAAACAGGACACAAACCTGTCCAAGTGGTGCTTTACATGGAGGACAGAAAGCCCACTATAAATTAATACAACCCAAATTAAGAATAGGATGGAGGCATTATTTGCAATCCCTGATCCCCTTTGAGAGAAACCCCTTATGAAATTGCAGGGCAACTCAAACCTCAGAACATTGTGACAACTGCTTAGTTGCCCTGTGTTCTTTTTACAGTTTTCAGGAAAAGTGGAAATAAAAGAACTTAGAACCATATGATTTCATTCTCAAAGCAAGGGAATATGACAGGTAAAAATAGTGCCTTAAGTAAACACTGAAAATGGGTTAAAAAGTTTCACCCAAAAGGCAAGTCAAAGGAAATACTTTTATTTCCAGGGTTGGCAGGTCTCAAGCATGTTTTAAAGTTCAATGTTTTCAAGTACAGGAAAAACTTCAATTTAGTATTGACAGTCATGAAAAAAAAAACCAAGAATATTTAAAGTTCCACAAAAATGAGTTACCTTAGTTTTGTTTTTTTACCCCTCTGTTTTCTCTATCTGAACCTTGAAAAAGTGTTTAGGCACAATAATGGAAAATAGGAATGAAATTCCTATGATTTAAGGCTGGAAAAGTCTAGCAAACTGCCTGACCCATAGTAAGTTTTCAACAAAATGTTCTTCGCTTCTTCCTCACATAGGAGATCTTGGTCCTCTCTCTGAGACACCTACTGAGTGGTAGGAGGGGAGTGGCTAATTCTGTCCAAGAAGACCTGGGCCTGAATATTATCTGAGTCCCTGAAGAAACCTCTTCCCTCAGTAAGAGTGGAGTTTCAGGAGTCTGTCTCAGCCTCCATGCACATTCAGTACTCACAGATAGATACCCAACCCAAATGGGAGGGCATCATTCCCACCTGAGTAGTGAGGGGAGGCCCCAGGCTAAGTCTCTCTCAGGACCAGCCTTGTGCAGACAGTGGGTGGTGCCCTGCATTGGGCAAAAGGTAGTGATCATCTGGAGCTAAACAGCCCTGAATTTGAACCCATGGGGCAAGGTACTAGCTTTTTCTGAATGATATTATTTTTTATTATTAGAATGGAATACAAATAGTTACTATGTAAGGCTGAGGTACGATAGAGATTAGATTGGCCAACATGGGAAGGTATTAGTGCAGTGCCTGGCACTTAGAAGTATGCATTAAAGGGGAAAACATCATTAGAAACATATGCATGAATCAGTATCCTGGGTCTCTTTCCTACAGGAGAGGAAGTTTCTGGAAAATCTGGGCCCACTGATGAAGGAGCAAAAGACTGGGTACATAAAAAAGAGTCAGGGATTTCCAAGCACAGACTTTAATACATTTTGCAGATTCTCACAAGTCACCAAAAGTATAGTATTCTTTAAGAATAAAAAAAAAGTTGGTCATTGGCCATATGTTCTCCTATTCTCTCAGATGTGTGCTGAAATAAAAGTACTGCAAAGTCCACTCTATGCTCAAACTATGGGGTAGCAGGTACTGCATGATGACATAAGAAAAACCCAAACTCCAAACTAGACAGAATAGTATTAAAGCTCTGGCCATCATTCTTGATGGTAATAAATAGAAAAACCAAAAGAAATGGTAAGAGAAAAATTCACATCCCATCCTGAGGGCAATTCTCTTTTAGCTCTGAGCATCAGGGTCATCTGAGTGCATGGAGATTTGGTAAACACCCCATATATGTTTCTGTTTTCAAACTCTTACATACATTCCTCCAGACTGTGAGACTCAAGAGAATATGAGGATAACAAAAGTGATACAAGGGCTTGACTTACAGGCCTTGGGTCAGACAACCTGAGTTTGAATACAGATTAAACCCTCATTAGCACTGTGACCTGAGGAGACACCCAGCTTAAACTACAGCTCTTCTCAAGAAAAAATAACATTGTCCACCTTGTAGGACTGACGTGAGGATTTTAATGGGATGGTGCATATTAAATCCTAAGCTGAGGACTTGATTTTGGGTAGGAATGAAATTAAAGTTTTTAACTTTAATAGTTATAAAAATAATTAGTATTATTATTTCATTAAGCTTACCTTCCTTCTCAGTAGCATCTAGAAATATCATAAATTATGACCACATATTGAAGAATACTGCAAGAGTGACTTTAGTACAAACCAGACTCTAACCTTACTAGCTCAGCTAAACCTTCAGACAAAAAAGTCCGGTTAATGGAGCTCTGGTGCCTCAGACAAACAAAACACAACAAACTACAGCAATAAAACCTAAGTCTAATAAAAGATTTTGAAAATAAGATTGAAATATATCTTTGCAGCCTGAAATAGATACCCGCCTCCTCCTGCCACATACATCCCCATCCCCTTGAAGGAACAACTCCAAACAATCCTCCCTTGCCCGCTTGTCTCTCACTAAAATGTAGCACGCTGCTGTGTTGTGTGTGAAATGCTGTATGGACGGGTCCACAGGCCTCCCATGGCTCCTGAAAAATCGCGTCCTGTCAACTGTCTGTGGATTGTGAAGAAACTAGAACCAAACAACCCAGCTAAGCTACACCTAGATTCATGACCTACAGGAAATGAGAGATGATAAATATTGTTTTCTTAAGCCTTAATGTTTTGAGGGCAATTTGTTATGCAGCAGTAGGTAACTACTACATGGAGATAGCACTGTGCCAGTGGCTGTAGATACACAGCTATTGTGTATAGTAATTGTCATGATCCTGCCTTCAGGGCACCTTCAGTCCAAGGCTGCTGGTAACTCTGCAGGAGTCCATTCCCACAGTAGCCCTGAGGCCTGATTTGCAGCCATGAATATGCAGCAGCATGAGCCCCTTGGTCAGGATTTCTGTCTTAGGTTGGGCCTCAGTGTTGTGTGAATGACTGTGAATTTTCCTCTCCTAGACTGAATGTCCAATTCAGGAAATGAAGCCAGGGGCTAGCAGCTCCACTTCCATTTTCTTTCTATTGCAAAAGCTCATATTGGCCTCAGCAGTGAACTGCTTTCACTTCTGCCTAAATTCTGGGAAAGTTGATGCAACTTTGCAGCTTCCTCCAGCCCTTTGGTTGAGATGGTGAGTAAACTATTTAACTGTAGTCAATTGCTCTATTAATGCACTACTCAGAATCAGAAAGAAAATAAAAACACAAATAAAGAAAAATAAGCAAACACTGAAATATCTGATGATATCTAAAAGACAAATATTTCCAGAGATCCAAAAGAGATAAGAGATAGGGTATAATATTTGATCATTTCAAATAATGCTATTTTCATTTGATTGGCACTTATCATTTAGATAAGAATCCTTTGAAATAAACTAAGAAAAAATGTCTGGGGCCCTTTTTGATTTTTGTAGGAAAGATGACTGTCATTTCTTAGAAAAGAGTACCAGCTGACATGATCTACTGAAATCACCACCATCTCCTTCATTATCACTACCTTCATCTCCCCCTTGGGTTCCTCTGATGGGGCCCCAGTGATTTCCACCGTGTAACGGGGGCCTTCCTGGAGAAGAAGGAGTCTTATGGCCCAGTCTGGATTTGGTGCTGGCTAAGCCTCATCACCAGGAAATGAGGTATAATTTCCTCCCAGGTCTCAGAACCACTGCCTGGGCCACTTTGGTAGCAGGCTGAGAAGTTGGGTATCTCATCCCAACTCTGTAAGATGCTCAAAACTAAATTTACAGTTAGTGGAACATTGCTTTGAACATGTCACAGGACCTTAAAAAAGACAGTATATAGTTTGGGAAACAAGAGAATCATTGCTGACAGACTAGATGAGAGAAGTACAGACTCAATCTAAAAAATAGTCTGAAAAGGTGAAAGGGAACCAGTATTCACAGAGCACTCACTATTCACAAATGTTATCTTAAAATCAGCCAGCTGCCCCATGAGATACGTTGTTAATCCCCATGTCATAGTCAAAGAAACAGACTCAGAAGGGGGAAGTGACCTGCTAAGGTCATGATGACAGTTAAGGTGGAGATGAAAAACGCAAAGCTGTGGCTGCTTGGTTCTCATTTCTGGGATCTTTCCAACCCAGTGTCATTGGCAGAAGAGGTATCATTTGGCCTTGGCTCCGTCTCTAACTGGCCATCAGCATGACCTTGAACATTCTTTGTTGCTGGGTTCTTCTACATGTGAGTACATGAATTGTTCAGACTAGATAACTTCTGGGTTTCTGCAAGTAATGAGGTCCTCATCCTGTGGCCCAAAGGGCCAATGGGGTCCAGTAGAAGGGTGGAACTGGGCCTGTAATCTGGGAAAATGGAATAATTACACTGAAGGAGTAATTCCAGTTCTCTTTAGAAGATCCTTTAACTCCAGAAAGAACACTGGGGAGGCTCACAAAGGCCTGCCCCAAACTGAGTCAGCTTACATTTGCTTCAGGCATCAGAAATATGATGCTCTACCTTAAGTGTGTGTGGGATGAGGAGGGGGCTGGTCTCTTTAGGAATCATCTGAGTAACAGGCTGTTTTCCCAAGGAGCCTATGAGATGGCCCTCTAGAGCCACAGTTAGGAGCATCACCCCTGACTGGCTTAGACAAGCAATTCTAACATTGCTGGTGCTTAATTTCCACAACTTTAAGTGGGCATGGAACCTCATTTGGATTTTATGAAGTTACATGGTAAAAAATCTGATGTTAAAAATGCTTTGAAAGGATAATATGACCTGGAACATGACTACAACTACAAGAGACAATATAAGAAATAAAAAAAAAATGAATGTACTTATTTTAATAATTTATGCCCATTCATATTAATTTTCTGTGTAGTTTTTAAAAATGCAAACATACACACCCCAAAGAACATACTATGGTGAATATACCTACAATTAATAGTGTTTCTCAAATTGACACAAAGTGCCTGAGTAAAACACACCTATTGAATTTATTTTTAAAATCAGATTACTGAAACCCACCTTAGACTTACTGAATTAGAATCAGAATTTCATGGGGCAGAGTTATAGAAAACTGCTTTTTCAACTCATTCACTAATTGATTATTTGGTCTCTAAACCACATTGTAAGAAATGCTACAATACATACATATATAGATACATATGTAGGTATAGATAAACTATGCATGTTGAAATCCTGAGCTCTACTAAGGATTTTTTTGCTGTTTCCACTTAATCTGGACCCTTGGGAAAACTTAGATCTATCATGTCAGGATTAGAAGATGCTACCCTTGGGCTGAAATACAAGTTCAGCACCAGAAGATTATAGAGATGATGGTAGTAACTGATGATTATTTAGCTTCCAGACACTTTGGATAGAGGATGTAGTAGAGAATGGAACATGAATCCAGAGTTTTTGTGAGTTTTCTCTCTCTCTCCTCTGGTTCTTTAATATTAAGTGCAAAGCTATTTCTTCATCTGAGAATGACAGCCCAAAATGATTCTTTATAAAATATTTTTTTACATAAAACCTCAAGTAAGATTAATTCTCCTCTCTACCTCCATATCATTTTCTAACAAATAAAATAACCCTCCCATTTTCTGCTGCAGATAGCATCACAGTGGTGACACCTATCTCAGTTTCAAGGAAACTCATTTTTTTTCTTCTAGGATTAGCTGCCTTAAACCAAAGGTTCAAGTGAAGAAGTGATGACCCCCTCATCTGATTACAGAATTCTAATCTGAATTATATATTTTTTAAACATATATCCAATTAAGTATAGGTATAGTCACAGGTATGACAAGTTCCCTTAATGTGATTGGGAACTAAATGCATGACTCAAGGCTTATATAGATACAGCATGCATTTCCACCAACTCTGACTTAAGATAGATTAGCCAGGAAAAAATAAATGCTTCCTGGACATTGACTCATTTAATTTGTAGCAGCAAAATTTATTGGATAAACATCATTACTTATTTTTATAGATGAGAAAATGAGAGTAGAGAGAGAATAAATCCCCCAGTCATTTTGCTAGTACGTGTCAAATTAGAATTTGAATATAGAGTTTTTAATGATCATGACATATTTTACTTTGTAAATGTGTACGCACTTATATGCAAACCTCCAATGAGTGAAGCAGTTAAAAGAAAAGGCAAACAGCTATTAAGTGCTGTCTACACAGGGCAGATAAAGAGGTGACTTCTGAATTATTTTTGTCAGTACTAAATGATGACATCATTCTGTTTTCATTGCCACTAGAACAACAAGAAGAGGGAGTTCTCTGATGATGGATGCAGGCACCTGCTGAGCTCTGCACACTGTCTGCCATTGGCTTCTCTGTTCCCTTGATCCAGAGGGCTAGGCAAGGGCGGATGATAAAGACATCTTGGTCAAGGAAGCTCATCCCATTTCACTACTGCCAAATACTCACTGGACACCTGAGTTTGGTTATGGGAGAGCAACTGGCTTTCCCTGATAATAAGGAGCAGAAATTAAATTCTCTTGAAAGGATTTGAAAGGATCGGCACCTTGAAGCAGGTCGCAGTATGCATGAATAGACATATTCCTTAGCCTCTCTCTACTCAGATTTTATGTTCATCTGTGGATCATAGCCTGGCCTCATGAAAAACTCAAGTCTCTGCTTGACATGAAATGTATACTGGCATTTTATATGTAATATTTGCCCAGTTAGTACATTTGCTGATAGCTACAGAAAAAAAAATATACCAAAACTTTTGTTTCTGTATCTTTCCATTATCCACTCTGTTTTTCTCCCATAGTTGAACCACTGCCATTACCTTTTCTGTACCCTTCTGGAGCTTATTTATGCAAATGCAAATGTAAATGAATAAAAATGTTCCTTTTTTCTTTTTCATAAAAAAGGTAGCATGTTACATAACACTCTGCACTTCATTCTTCGATTTATGTATCTTAGAGAATTTTTTTTAATACATGGAGTGTTCTTTCAACAAAAATGTCTTACAAAATGTGTATTGTAATATTTAGATGATCCATACTTTAACAAGATCCTATTGATAAAATTATGGACTATTTCCAGTCTTTTGGGGTTACAAACAACATTGCAGTTAATAACCTTACACATGCAACATTAAAGTAGAAGAAAATACTAGATGTAGATTTGTTGAGTAAAAAAGAGATGCATCTTTTATTTGGAAAAATATTGACAATGTAATCTCACACACTGCACATAGGCCTAATAGAATTATTAGCCCTCCCCTTTGTCATCTCCCCTGAAGCTAATAATTACTAGACTGGAGGATGCTACTTGATGACATGTAGTTTGCAGAGCTGCTGTCAGATGCAGACTCAGCACCAAACACACCAGGACCCCCACCCCCACCCCCTGCCAGGTGGCACCAAAAAGGTGGGATTAATGCATAAATTCAAGAAGTGTCAAGGCCTCTCCAGTTTCTGCCCTTATCTGCCCCCGTCCCACCCACATTTCTTCACCCCTCCCTTGGCTTGATGGAACAAGGCTGATTTGGGAAATCTCCCCTGCCTTCTTGTTGGGCTGCCCTCCTGAGAGTAAAGCTTTCTCTGCTTCAGACCTGGTGACTCAGAGATTAGTTTACTGCCAGTCAGGCACATGAATCTGGATTTGAGATTTGGTATCATTTGCCCATTAATCTTTCCTTCTTATCATTCATAACAAAATTTAGATAAGAAATAAATTCCCATTAATAGACCTAGATAATTCTACACTGATACAACTGTATACCATACTTATTTTTATAACGAGGAATTGTTCTGCACTTGTTCTGGAATTATCGCTAAAATATATTGCTAACTTAAAAACATACAATCAATACGTACGTCTCTAAAAGTGGGAGGCAAAGAATGTTTGCTGGAGATACAAAAGAAATGAATAGCAGTGGTTTCCTCTAGGGAAGAAACGGGAAGGCGGAAATGGAAATAAGTAGCAAGAGACAGAATCTTTGCTTTATATCATTTGTACCTACCGAATCTTGAACACTATAAATGTATTATCTTTCCAAAAAATAAATGTTAACTACATTTAATTAAATACAATTCTTAAAATTGAATTTAATATGCATTATTGTTTCCTCGAATTACCCTTTTTTTTTTTTTTTGTGCTTTCTCAGTGGATGCTAGGAGGAGACTGAATTGCAAGGGCAGAAAATGCTTGTGAGGTTTTCAGCCCGTCTAGACAGAATGGAAGACGCTTGTGGAGAGAAGACAATAGGGGTGCTGGTGGTGAGCTCCCCAGGGGGACTGCTTTCCTACAACTGGAAGGCATCAAAAGTTATTTTATAGTCATATTCCCATATCCCCCTTTTAATCGTACCTCATGTCAAATAAGTAATGAAGAAAAAGGCAGTGTTAAATACTCTTTTAAACTATGCTTCTAAAATAAAATTAAGATCTTTTCTTTATTGTTCCAATATACTTTAATTATGGTTAGAACAGCAGTAAAAACGTATTTAGGCACATTTACATCAATGCTCTTTCACTAATAGATTTTTAAGATACTTTTTCTTTAATCAATGCCTTGATCTTGTCAGTACAACTGAAAAGAAATGGAGGTGTGTGAAGATTTTTTAAAAAATTACAAGTGAAAGTGAATGATGTTTTGTCAGGTCTAAAAAAGAAACAAATAATACACTTAGTGTCAGAAAACTGACAAAATCCACATCTCAGAAAACTTAGAAGGGGGTCACTTAATTTCACTTCTGCTGGGCGATTTTCTTCAACTCTTAAATTTCATTTCCAATGAAAGAATTTATTTCTCACATGTATTCAACTCCTAAGTTATAAAGAACTGTATCAAGGTTAATTATGTCAATAATTAAGAATATGGTTTCAAACTGGCTCTTAAATATTCCTACTCTGATTAAAGCCAGAGAGAATAATTTGAAAGGAATAATTTAATCTCTATCTAAATATTCTTAAGTGGAAATGTGATGCTGTTACTTTGTCTCATACAAAATCACAACCACCTCACTATAGAGAAGTGTTTGAGCTCAAATCCTTGCCCTAAAAAATGCCAATTATGGAGAGGAAAAGAAAGCAACCTGAGTATTCAAATCAGCTAACAAAACACATTGCTTTTAAAATAAAAATGGGAGAAATGGTTGAAAAATCATCATGAACTGAGCTTTGGGTTTCACAGAGATTATTCTGTGAATATTCTGCTTATGAAATAAGTGTTATTTTATCCCTGGTAAAAATCTTCATTTTTGACAACCCAAACACCCTGAAAACCCTTGGCCTCTTTCAAACTGTCTTCATTAGACATATAAAAGAATTCTCTAAGTGACCAACCCTCAGTTAATTTCCAGCAATGACAGAAACTCTGCATTCCCCTCTCCAGTGTAGAAAAGACAAAAATTACCACCAGGCCTCATATGCGATTCTGTCTATAAATGCCTGCATGGAGCATCTGTGATGAGAGCAACTAGTACAGGATCTGAGAGAAGGGAGGATAATACGATGGGAATTTTCCTGAATTCTTAGAGTGACAAGCAGGTCTCAGTGGCTACTGCCTGCTAGTCCCCTTTAGAAACAGCTGGACAAACCATGCAAGACACTATCCTGACCCCGAAGAGGCGCATGCAGTCAACCAAACCTGTTTGTAGCTGGCGCCCTCACGCTGAGTCATCATTGCACCTGTTGTCCCGGCTGTTGCCCCCTAGTTTTCTCACTCAGGGTTTTGTATGTCCAGAGATCAGGCAATTGGTTTTGATTAGCTTGTTGGGCTTCCTTATTTTTTTCTTTTTTCATAGCCCTTAGGTTGGGTCAGAGATTCTCAAGAGAGAGACTTCTTCCTCCTGCACAAGTCATGAAATCAGTGGTTAAAAGAAGACTGAATCAAGACGAGAGACTGAACCCACGGGTCTTACTCATCTCTCCCAAAATTACATGGCATTACAGAAAAAGAAAACACTAACAATGCTGAAAATAACTTTTATTTCTAGAGCAGAAAATAAGGTATGTCTGAAAGATATACAACAAAAGAAATCAGAAAAGGAACTGGGGAAACTGTATAAAAGAAGACTGTTCTGGAAGTGATGAAAGGATCAAGAATCACTAAACACTAAGGATAGTATCATGAAAGAGAAGAATTTAGTGACTAGAAAACAATGACTCCAAAAAGGAGAATACAGAGAACAGATGTCAAAAACATTAGAATAAAGAAAATCAATACCACAAAAAAGAGGATATCAATTGCATCCAATTCAGTAAGATGAAATCTTAGAGCATATATTTCTGACAATCATAAGCAAAAAATGACAGAATTAATTGATAAAAGCCATAGAAATGTCAGCAAAAATAAGCCAAAGCTCAAGGTAAGATTGGCTGGTATTCAGAATTTGTATGTTAAAGGCAGGCTGCAAAGTGGCCCTGGAGGTACCAAAAAGTCAAACCAAAGGGTAAAGTATGATTAGTTACGAAAGTTATACAGTTCACAACATAATAAAATAAACAATTAAAGAGAAAGAGCATCAGGTCTCATAATGAAAGCAGAGAGGAAATTCTGCCATGGTTTTCATAAAAATAATATGCTCATCAATAGTTCTATAATATGTATGAACACTGTATTCATAGAAAGGCTTGTTAGCATGTCCCTCAAGTCAAATATTATTTTTGAAAGCATTTGTCCTTCCTCTCTAATTTCCATGAGTTTTGTGATTCTTGATTTGCTGGTTGTTTAGAGGGAGATCCCAGTGTCTTGTCTGGAAATGCACGGTGTAACTCCACTTAAAAGTCTCCTTGGCTCTAAGGTCAGCACTGCTTTGCCCCAACCTTCCTGTCGAACCCACATGGTTCCACATCCCTTTTAAAGGTCACCACAGATTCCTGATCCAAGATGATGCCTCTTAAAGAATAGCCAGGAGAGTGCCTGCTGTCTCTAACAAGAAGAAATAATTTTATATAGATGGGAGATGACAGAGACAGAGATGGAAATGGTGATAGATATGGAGACAGAGATTAGAGATAGAAAAACAGTGAGAGAAGGAAGGGAGGGAGAGAGAGAGAGAGAAAGAGAGAAAGAGAAAGAGACAGACAGACCAACATTGCAGCAAATGAGCTCCAGGGCACCTACTTACCTGTGAGACAATAGAAGGGGTTGTTTTTAATGTTGTGGTACTAGAATAAAATATAAATGAGTTTGTTATGATAACTATTTGCTGTCAAATCTTCATACTGTATTTGCGAATAAGAGGAACATCAGGAAAAGAAAAAAACCTACTATGTTTTGTTTGAATGCTGACAGCTTTCAGAAAGAGTAAATTTAGACCATGACAACTTTATCTCACTGCTTGGGAGATTCTGAAGAATAGATAAAAGGAGAAACAATAAAAAAGTGTAGGCAAATTTTTGTCATTAGTTTTAGTCTCAACAGCCGAGTTTTATACTCTCTGCCCCAGTCTCTTCCTCTACCCCTGCTCCCAGAGCCCTATTGTAATAATTCTCCTTTATTAACTTACTCACCACATGTGGGCTCAATTCCAGGGCATCCTGGAAGCTCAGGTGTCCCACTGCAAGAAAGAGGAAGCTTTGACTGGCCTGGAGAAACTGACCCATTTAAAAGGCTGACCTCTGGGCCTATCAGGCACTGTGTATGGCCAACTCAGACAAGCTTTAGTCTAGTTCTCATGTTCATAGAGATCTAACCCAGAAATGACAGGAGAAGCTCATTAGTAAAGAGGAAGAAACATCATAAATCTGCATAACTAGTCTACCTGCAACAAGGTATTAATTTGTAGCTGGCAAAAGGAACAGAACTCACTTCTGCAGAGGTGATGGTAAGGGATAGGAGGCATGCCAAGGATCAGCCAAGTACACCAAGGTTCAGGAACCAGACTTTTCTTTTAATAAGAAATTCAAGCCCGGGACAGAGAAACCCAGAGAAAGAGGACCAGTCGTATAGACCAAACTGATATGGAAAGAAGTTGGAGTTGAATTGATTGGCAGTCAGAGCCTACCACACAGTAAGCCGAACTAATGGCAAATTTATGTCACCAAAACTCATCCTAGACCTCCTGATTTGGTGTGCTGGGAAACTGTCTCAGGGAGTAGGCAGAGTATGACCTGAAGGTAGGAAGACCAAATAATTCCAGCTGAGAGGAGACAGTAGAGTAGGGGCTACCTAGAAAGGTGGGTGGAAGTGACCCTAGGAAGGTTCAACTGTGAGTCCTTGAGCCAGAGGTCAGCTATGTCTCACAGGAGTGGGCCTGCCTTATTAGACCTGCTGCAATCTATTATCAGCTAGAAGTTCCCAAGAAG